CTTTGCAGACTTATGGAGTGCAAAAGTTTTTTCTATGCTAATTATTTTAATTGATCGCTGACAAGTCCTGTCATACTTGATACGCACACTGCTGTTGAACCAAGCTAATCATGCAATTTGACAGAAATCGTGGTCTACAAGTATAATGCTCTCTGTTTTCCCCTGGATTTTGCAAGTGAATGCCTTCAAAGAAGAAAAAAGAGCTTGTCCGTCCTTGACTCCAAGACGAAAGAAGACGACAAAATCATTTTGCAAAGTGTGGGCTTCAAAATTAGCGAAGAGTGACAACTGCTCCTACTACAATCAAGAAAAATGGCTAAAAGATAACAAAGCTTCTGAAAAACCCATTGAAACTACCGTGAAATCGAGTTTCACAAGTTTCCTAGCGAGCAGAGTGAGCTTTTTAGGCCGCGAAGTCTCCAAGCAAGCGACAAATTCGCGACAAGTCCAGCGCCATATAAAAATCGGACGAAGGACTTTTTTGAAAGTCTACTGTAGCAGGAGAGCAGCTTCAAGAAAAACTCTAGGAAGCGGTTTGTTGTCGATTTTTCCAGGGAAGTGTCAAACTTTTAGAAAATGTATCAAGTAAAAGTTGGCTTGGCTCAAAATGAAAACTGCCTGCATGATGCAAATAACTAAAGATGCTTTCTTGACAACAGAAGGATCGAACAGAGCGGAGCCTTTGAAACAAATTGTTCATCTGTTGTCGGGTTTCGTTTGTAACCTTCTCCTGCTGTGTCGCTATTGTTGTCCTTTTTCTGGTATGCAACAACATTGACAGCTTTGGTGTTATAATCTGTTATAATCTAGTCACGGGTAATTATAATACGCCGCCAAAAATCTTTTTCCCCTGTTTTCTCAAAATGAAAATCAGGGCAAGTTGAGGGGACGTTTTAAACTCCAAGTTGGCAATCCGTGAACCAATTTGGCTGAAATTTGGCCAACTTACTGTCATAGTTTATTTTTGGCTGGCCTGGACTTAAATTTACAGTGACACCTACTTTCACAAAAAGCTTCTCATTTCTGAATCGCGTTAATATTTTGATTTTTTAAAAGGAATAAGCAATAATCTGGAACTATTATATAAGCTTTAAGAAAATGTACGGTTTATGGGGGTATTTATTAAAAGCAATTTTAGTGCTAGTGCCGATCAACGCACGCAGGGTGCTTGAGGGTGAACGATACTATAAGTTATTGCCTTGCAAGCTAAAATTAGGTAAATAAACACAAGGCAATAACATTTCACATTCAATAGTGCTTGGATCTGAACATAACATGTTGCAAATGCAACAATTCACTTATTTACAGGTCTACAGATTGCATTACAGCTATCTTTTTTGTAGGTCAACTGCTATAATCTGTCAACACTCTTGGTCATGCCGTGCTATTAAAAACTGAATTTTTGTGATGTTCAAGAAATGGTTTTCTTAGAATCACACATGATCATGTCAAGTGGTTGCTTTCTGGAAACGGGAACAAAAGCATGTGTCAAGTTTCTAGCCTAAAAAGTGTTCGTGCTAGTTGCTGCGGAGCGACCGTAGGGAGTGAGCTGCAACATAATCAGGATCTAAAGGAAATATATGAGGGGCGACGAATTCTCGAATTCATCACTTTTTACCAGAATGCATTGCATTTAACCAGAGTGCACTGTGCTACTTTTTTACCAGAATGCATTGCGACAGGGACAACTCAACTAAAAACACGACGAAGAGTGTGCATCGTTCACTGCCCAGACTCGGAGTTTTCTTTGTGGCAAATTTTCTACAGCACGGTTAGAGGTCAGTCTTAACAAATTTAAGGCACACCGTGAGTACGATGGTTAACTTGGGGATTGGATTTCAAATCAAGAGCCTTTGACTCGTCCAGGCGTTAAACTTGACGAGAAGATGAGCATTTGCTCAACCCCGCAACATTGGGGATATAAAAATTCCAGCTTGCTAGAAGGTGATGTGAAAGTGAGAAAATGTCATGCCATGCTATTCTTAAGAACCTGTGTGAGCCGAAAATGGATGTGATTTTGACCATTAGCTTCAAAATAACAGCAGAAATCGAGATAGCAAAACACATGTTTTGCGTCCTACTATGAGGATGTGGTATCGTCGTTTTGTAAAGTTTGTAAAGCATTATTATGTTCTTTCATTAATTAATTCATTGCCATGGAACATGCATTTGCATTGTTTTTTTTTTTTTACTGTTAATAGCCCAGTTAATGCAGCTTGATCATCTTGCCGGCGGAAGGTTCATTCAAAAGGCATTAAATCAAAGACTTTTCCCTAAGGTTACATAATCAGCCTCAGTGGTGTAGTGGTTAGGTGTAGTCGCGTCAAGCCAAAGGTGCTGGATTCGAGTCCTACTCAACTCTTGTTTTCCTTCTTTCTTTTTTTTTCCTGTTTTTTTGTGTTGTTACTTGCTATAAATATATACCTAAATAACTGTCATTCAATAAAGTGCAATAAACAGCCAGAAAAGTATCGTGTTTCCAGTGAAAAGATAGTACACCGTACATTAAATATATGGATGAACAATCTGAACTTCTATCATTTCCTACAATTTACTGTGGGAAAACCAGAGTTGATAACCACTTGTCATAATGATCATTTTCTAAACAACGTTCCCACAAGTTCTTTCTACAGACTGATGGTAATTATTACTTTCCAACATGTAAATAGGACATTCACTTTCGATTTTTTTAAGTCTCACTGCCTAACTAATGCCAGTATCAACACAATGTGCCGCAGCATTACTATCTTTTAGGTAACCTAGTTTAAGAAATTTAAAGTAATGGTTACTCAAAAGAAAGATTTTGAAACAGTACTTGAATAACAAATAAAAGGGTCACTTACAAAGTGGTCGCTTACAGGAGGTGGTCACTAATATGAGAAGTGGTCACTTTGAGAGAGTTGATTGTAACACAGTCGTTCTTTTTAGGAATTTCCATGTCATTGCATTAAGAACATTTTGAAATTTCAAGCTGTAAGAATATTCAAGGAATTTTGTGAATCTTGATCATCCCTACATTTGGTCTGACATATATATCTACTGCCTATAAAACTTGTTGAATCATGTTTAATAAGTTTAGAAGAGTAAAGAACTTTTGGCAAACCTCTTGACAACAAATCTTCATACAGCTTGTCTTATTCTCCACCACTGTTAACAATACTATAAAATGCTCTTTGTAAGCTAAACCCTGATTTTGAGACAACTTATAGTATGGGGATGGGGAATAGTCCTCTGAGTATTTCATGCCACTGCTTATCATGCTTAGCATAAATCGGGCCTACAGTACAAGACTGCATTCTGAATTTGATTTACTCTGATCCTGCATGGCACACACCTGGATAAGATTTACCAAAAGCCCTTACATTTACTGCAGGTACATGGTTAGCCTCTTCTGATATTTCATAATTATTTGTGTCAAAGGTATGAAATTGCTGCATGTCATAAAGTTAATAGGGCTGTGCAGAGATCAGTAATACCCACATCTGTTGCAGATTGACACACCCTGTTGTAATTCTGGACACAGGTGGCCCAAGCTCATTACATGAACACAGACATTACTCTTGCTTGCGAGCAGTGTTGTGTCATAAACGGTTATTTTACAAAGGCTTGTAATGCAAGTTAGCACTATTCACTAACTTGCCGAAAACGCTTCAAAATGGCCTGAGACGCAGGCAAACAACAAAGAATACAACAAGGCAATAAGGTACGCCAATTTTATTTTAAAACATAACATTTTTTCTCTCTTTTAAGAAAAACCATTTACATCCCATACAAGCCTTTGTAAATAACTGTTTGTAACACAACACCACTCACAAGCAAGAGTTGCGTCCGCGTTCATATAATGAGCTTGCCGGGCCAACTGTGTTTAGGAGCACACGATTTATTATATCCAGTATCTAAACTTTTAGTCCATGAACTGATTCTGCTTTCTAATAATTTATCTTTATGCCACTAATCTTCTGCATACAAATAGTGACAACAAAGAACATTCATAGTGCAGTAGGGAGTGCAGTATTAAAGGCATTTTGCCTTCTGGAACCTGAGAAATTTTTATCAACGACGAAAACACCGAACCAAATTACATATGGGAAGAGATAAGTTGTTAGATACATGTAATGACATAAAACTCAAGTGTAGCTTACATGAATAGATTTCCAAGGCATGATCTGCAGTAGAAATGTCCACAAGCCGTCTGCATTGCTTCTCGCAAGAGCAAACCACAGGAGTTACACAGATACTTAGGATCGATGCTTTCCTTGTCTGAGGTGGCTAAACTGTACCCTGGCATAATTTCTGCGTGTCCTTTGTATGAAGGTCAGATTGTGTTGACCCTTGAAGAAAAAGAAAAACAAAGGCGAGCATAATTAAATGACTTAAAAAGGGTACGACTATTATACTGTCACTGTATTAAAACTTACAAGTAATTTACTTTCACTTTACAAAATGACGAAAACAGAGAAAGAGTGCTAACTTTATGCTAACTAAGCATAAAGCCAGTAAACGCGAGTCACGTCCAGAGGTTGAAATCTCGCCCCAGATTCTTTCCTACTTTGTAGCTTAGCTAGTGGCGTGGTCGCTAGCTGAAATCCGGAATCCAGAATCCGGAGTCCCGAATCGGGTCACTTCTTCTTTAAGTCGAAGGTGAAGCGATGGGCTTCAAAACAGTGGTGGTTGTTGTTGTTCTTGCTGTTTTTCTCCTCTTCACGAAATCGATTCAGCGCAGCGTAAGCGTAAGAATAGCGTTGGCGTTAGAATCTCACGCACGCGAGCCTCACGCCCGTAGGGCACTCTGCCTTCTGTTTGACTGTTCGCGCGTACTTGAATACGCAAAAGTATAGATCGACTGTTCTGCAGTCTAGCGTGGTGATTGGGATCTGTATAAACAAATACTCAAGCACCACGAGCAGGGAAAGATAAAAGTGGAAAAGGCGTTACTATGAATAGATGCCATCTATCCAGAGGCAAGTTCATATTCGTACAAGTCTTCTTGAATCGCTGCGTGGAAGTCAACAAATGAAAGGGGACGGGCTCGTAGTTACTAAAACATGGAACGACCTAAAACCACCTAGAACCAACTAAAACCATCTAGAACCACCTAAAACCACCTACAACCACCTCAAAAAATTCAAGAACCACCTACAACCATCTACAACCACCTCAAAAACATCTACAACTACTCGCAAACACTCTAAAACCATCTAAAACAAGGTATAAATGTCTGAAATAAGGCGAGACGACAACATGTCACGAACATGAAATACGAGAATCGAACAAAACATCCACTTCCCCCTAAAATCTTATTCTCCCTTGTCCCTTGTATCATCAACCATTGGCTTTAAGTCACGAAATGAAATGCGAGATCATGCTAAGTATATTAAAAGACTTTACAAAATGAACTATCAAGTCACACAAAAAAATAAAAATAGTCGAAAGACTGACTTGATTTGGCTTTTTCTACCCTGGGTACCAGTGAGACGTTTTGGTTCAGGTTTCATTTGTTTACGCAATGGCACAAGGTAGGGTTTCTCTCTCTTTCGGAGTCTGCTTCACTGCTGTTTTGTTCTGAGGTGGCGGATTACATTCCTAAGAACAAGTTAATTTTTTTAGCATCTCATCCGCCAAACATGTTTGTACATTCCAGGTGACTCCTTTAGATGAACCCTAGTGTCTTTCACACCCATTTCCTGTGTCATCACGCAAGGCTAAACTCCCTTGCGTCACGACACAGGAAACGGAGACTAGTAGGTGTAATCATTGTTAAAAAAGTTATTTAAAAAAATCTATAATGCAATGGATTCAGAAGAAAACAAGTTAAGAAGAGCAGAAATTAATAAAAATAGGTTGAAAAATTTTAATAGTGAATGATTGTATTTAAAGTAATTTACCTGGATTTTTATATACCTTTATTATGTTTTGGAACCCAACTTTCACCCCGGCCCTCTTCTTGGCAGTGTTGGGATATGCGCGCTTCTTATTTCCGCTTTGCTCGTTGTAAATACGTCCCCACTATACTATCTGAGAGCCTGGCACAGGCTAGAGTAGCTGAAAATTTACGAGATAAAACGGAACGAAAAATTTGGATCACATATTCGGGTCTTCCCTCCCCGCCAAGGGACGTTACTGGTAAGAACGTTTTGATTCATTTTGCTGAAAAGAATTATCAAATATCATTATATAATGTCTTCTAATTCTTGCAACTGTAAACGGGTTAATAGCTGTATAAAATCAGGCTTTACAAGTGAGACACGTTCACACTAAACTAAAGGATTCTGCGGGACTACATACATTTGTGTGAAACTATTTCAGACATTTATCCCCTGTTTTAGATGGTTTTAGATTGTTTGCGAGTGGTTGTAGATGTTTTTGAGGTGGTTGTAGATGGTTGTAGGTGGTTCTTGAATTTTTTGAGGTGCTTGTAGGTGGTTTTAGGTGGTTGTAGATGGTTTTAGGTGGTTTTAGGTCGTTCCATGTTTTAGTAACCGTTTCACGAAACTGGGCACGATACATCTACTATGCGGGACTTTCAGTTGTTAATTGTTGGTTTCGACACTTGCCAGCGAATGTGACACCTTATCAGACAGGCAAAACAGAAAAGCTGCCTTTACTGTGGCTTGGATGAAAATGCTAGTAAAAAGCCAACTCAAGAACGAATGATCATCGAACGTTTCCTTGTGGGACAACAGCTCCCACGAAGTCGCTGCATGCTGTTGTAAGCGTAATTCACGAAAAGGTTGATTGTACTAGTCACAGTCACGTTCAGCTATGAAAATCAATCTCGACTTCCGAACAAAGGAAATTCATGTCAGATGATACCTTTTTTCGATATTGCGGCACTGCCCTTCATCGAATGATTAAACTCAGGAAGGAGACTCTTAAGCAAAAAAGGGTCGTGGGAAAGTCTCCACTTATAAACGACGTCCGATTATGGAGAGACAATTAGAACTATTGAACTCTGGTGATGAAAGACAAATCTTGGATGTAGGAAGTCTGATTTTTCCACGGACCTAGCTGCGATCAATCAGGTAATGGATGGAGTATTTAAAGCTCTGGTTTCCAAGCTGGCCAATGCACAAATCAACGAATTCATGAATGATCGATAAAGTTAAAAGAGACCTCAGAGTTACTGGAAAAGTTGTTGACGTAGACGAGATGCTAACTACATTCACATTTATTAATTGACAGCGCTTTCGCATCAAGTCAATATCAGTGCAATATAAATTAAATAAATTACAATATCAGAAATACAACAGTTTAATAGAATAAAATTATATATAGCAACATATTACAACTTCAAATGATAAAAATTATTTCTTAACAAATATAATAAATATATACATGCAAATAAATAAGGTAAATAATAATAAAAAAAGATAAATAAATGGCAGCAATCAATTATTACTTAAATAGCTGAGAAACAGTGATCTTTAAATAATGAAAAATTTGTACCAGTACGAATGCCACTTAGCTATGGCTGAAACTTAAATCATATTCTTTGCCTGGCAAACGTGTGTAAATGAACTTGCAGCTGGCCATGTACATGTAATTAAGACCGAAAACTGCATTTACACTGACAACTTTTTTGGAAGCCTATAATATTTTGAAGGGATGGCTGGAATAGAGACTAAGTGATGATTTCAGTTTTCTGTTAGAATTCTGAGCAGGCTTACAATCTAAGGAAGAATTTGACATTAGACATTAGACATTATTTTTGACATTTGACATTAGAGTTCATTTTTAGTTTCATGTTCCACTCACCCCTTCAGTAAAATGTTAGGGACCAATCGTTTATTACATCCCAGGGGCGGGGGGGTTTGGAGGAGGCTAAGAGGCTTGATTTTGAAAATGTACAAAATGTGAGGGGGGGTCGAAATATTAAGACACAGTTGTCAAACTATATTATGATTGAAGCAAATCCAGATTTTTACGTTTTTCAAAATAAAAAATTTTCTTGGGGGGCATGCCCCCAGACTTCCCCAGGTGTGCACCTTCAAAATCTCATGCTTCACTGCCAACTACCAGTATCTTTTTGCTTATGAAATCAACGCCCAAGGATGGAGGAAGAAGAGACTTGGTCTAGTGGAACTTGGATTCAGGATTCCAATCGTTAGTGGGATTCCGGATTCCTTCAGCTGTATTCCAGATTCCAAAGCCCAGGATTCCACATTCCGCAACCAATTCAACAAGCAAAAATGTCTTGGATTCCGGAATCCGGATTTCCTTACATGAGGCGAAAAAGAGAAAAAGGAAAAACAACTTGAGTGGTGCAATTTACACCGCGTTTCAAGAGGATTTATGTTTACTGAAACGTGGATATTTCCAGGAGTAGTCAATCGATAGAAATGGATATCGGAAATCAATCGAGAAATCAATACGAGAAACGTAAATGGAACACGACATTCCGTTCGGAAATTCCAACCGGGAAAACGGGCCCACCTTTTTAGAGTTTCCACTTTTTCTGGGAATTTTCCAATGGGATGAACCGACGAAACGTGTTCCATTTACCGCCGAACCTGAAATTCCGGAAATTTTGAGTAAATGGAAAGCGCCCAAAGTGATTATTGCTGTGCTATGGATATTTTTTTATTTCTTTCTTACTCCGTGATTTATTCTTACGTTTCTTTCTTAATGCGACTAATTGAAATCATAAAACCGTTGAGTTTGTTGTTTATTCTGCTTCATCTTTATGGCGTTGCTATAACGAGACTAACCGAGGGTTGCACACTGCTACTCTGGCCTCAACTTCTTCTTCTTCCTGTATTATGAACTGCGCTGAAGTTGAAGATCGATACAAAGATAGTATTTTGTTGATAATAATATACACGAAAAAAATACTTAATTCTGATTGGCTGAGAAAGGAGTGCAGCTCTTACACTTTTGTTGGTCTTTGAAAAATTTACTCGTGCTTATTTATTCCAAATTGCACTCGAAATCATGTGATTACCTATTCTAATTGTAAACCTATTGCATGCTATGATGATTGAATGACTCAATAAAATCATACAGACAACATTAACTTGTAAAACGACAATCTTTTCCGATAACAATCGATAATAATCGATAACATTCGATAAATCAATCGTTATCGATTTCTATCGAAAATCGATATCAATCGAACTCACAGCTTTGTTTCTTTATCGATTTCTATTGATTGGTATCGGAAATCGATATCAATCTTTGATTGTTATCGATTGATATCGATGATCGGTTTATCGATTGACTACGCCTGGATATTTCTAATGTGCTGTTATTATTATGGTCAAATTAAAAGAGCTGAAAACTCAGTCGACCGTAGGCTTCAGGGGGGCAAACATTAATCTTTGAAAACGGCCGATTCTTTGAAACGGCCAATTCTTTGAAAACGGCCGATTCTTTGCAATGGCTTCGCAAAAGTGCATGAGAAAACTTTCTACAAGATAAATGTTTTATATACAATTTAACAAATTCATTGTAGCTCTTTCGGATTCCCTTACATAGGGCCATCGCCTTTGTGGATAGCTAGAAAATTAAAAATAGTGTAATTCTTCCTTCAATATAGCTTAATTTTTAGTTAACGCTCTTATGTTTGTCCGAGTCTCGCGGTGGGGCTCGGTAGAAATTTCGCAACTTCTTTAAGAAGAGACGTGCGTCGCTATATATTTCCCAGCCTGCGAACGCAGCTGTATTTCCGTTTGTGCCGTTTGCTTAATTTCCTTTTTTCGTGTCTTTAACTTTCTATTTGTTCTTTATTTTCTTTTTAAAAACGCGAACGAAAATCATCTCTCTTCTTCTTTTTTCCTTTCAAACAAAACCCTCTGTGGTTCTGGCATTTTACCATGTTTAATAGATACCACTTAGATTTTCCTTTCTTCTTTTAAAACAAAGTTTGGAACAAAGAATGGAACGCGTTTGAGTCATGTGCTTCTTTTTATGACGTTTTTCCGCAGGTATCGCTATCAATGCAAGCAAGCTCTTGGGAAAGGGGTGGGGAAGGGGAGAGTGCATGTATTATGGAGATAGCCCC